CAGCTCCCCTGGGCCCCCCCACCCCCCGGGAGCCCTTGGGAGCCCGGCTCCGTCCAGGCTTCCCAGGGCAGCCCCCCCTGGGCCACGGAACCCTCCCCTCCGTGCTCCCCTGGGCCACCCCCCCATGGGAGCCCTTGGGAGCCCTCCTCCGTCCAGGGTTCCCAGGGCAGCCCCCCTGGGCCACGGAACCCTTTATTTTCGTCGTCGTCCTTCGTTCCTGGGACACCCCCCGTGGAAACTCTTGGGAGCACCCCTCCGTCCAGGCTTCCCAGGGCAGCCCCCCTGGGCCACGGAACCCTGTATTTTCGTCGTGGTCGTTCGTGGCTCGTGGTCGTTCGTCGTCGTTTTCGTTCGTGGTCGTTCGTCGGCCCTCCATTTCTAGTGGGGGGGTGGAGGGGTCGGGGAACATGGACAACAAGCATCAAGTCCGTACCCCCCCCCCATCCTCCCGACATTCGGGTCTTCGGGACGGGCTGGGGGGGGCTGGTAGGTAGGTTGTCAATCCTCCAGAGCCGCAAGGTCTCAGAGATTCCCAATGTATCCTTGCCCGATTTGATCTTCGTCCTGGCTTCGTCTTACCCATCGGTAGTTGAAACTAGGTGTGTCCGGATTTCCAGATTCCAATCTACTTTCAGCGCGCCTTCCTACTTCAATGATCGAGTGACTCCCCCTCTTCCCTCCTCTTCAGGGGTCGGGCGGAGGCCCAATCTACTCTCAACGCCTTCCTACTTCATGTTTCTACCTGCTCCTTCCGATCGATGGGCACCCCCCCTCTGATCCTGCGGGGGCCAGGGGTCGGGCGGATGCCCAATCTACTCTCAACGCCGTCCTACTTCATGTTTCTACCTACACCTTCCGATCGATGGGCACCCCCCCTCTGATCCTGCGGGGGCCCGGCGCTCGGCCGTCCCTGCCGCGCCACCCCCCCCTTCCCGCGCCGAGGCTGAGCGGCGCGGCCTGGCCGCTGCCGCCCTCGCCCAGGCTCGCCCCCGGGGGTGGCCTCGGCCCTGTCAAGGGAAGCGAGAGGAGGCGGAGGAGGAGGAAGAGGCGGCGGAGGAGGAAGAGGAGGAGGAGGAGGAGGAGGAGGACAGGGACGAGGACGAGGACGAGGACGAGGAGGAGGAGGAGGAGGAGGAGGAGGAGGAGGAGGGAGGAGGAGGAGGAGGATAGGGCCCGGAGGAGGCGCGGGAGGGGCAGGGGCAGGGAGGAGAGGGGGCGGGAGGAGGACAGGGACCGGGAGGGAGGGGCAAGGTCTTCGTGTGCACTGCTGCTTAAGGCCTGAGCGTGCGCTGCCTCCAGGGCAGCGGGAGGGGCGGGGAAAGAGGCCGGCCACGGGGCAGCGGGGGGTGGCGGCGGCCCCGTGGCCCCCCCCCTGGCCTTTGCCAGGGGGAGCGAGCTGGGGCCCCGGCCCAGGCTCGCCCTGGCCCCGGCCCCGGCCCCGACCCCAGCCAGGGGAGGAGGCCCCATCGTTGGGGTCCTTTTACTCCTCCTGCTCCTCCTGCTGGTGCTGCTGCTCCTTATGCCTCTCCTCCGTGTATTCCCTCTTTTGACGTCGCTCCGCGCGCCCCCTAGCCGCGTGGTGTTCAATGACGTGCACAGTCGCTATGGCGTACACAGGCGTTGTGGCCCAAAATGTCCGAGCGTTGTTTGGGCCAGAAACAAAACCACAATCAACTCACATGTTAGATGTGATACGTTCGGCCCCCAATGATTTTCCAGAGCTTGGATCCGTCTGTGCCTTCATGTGTTCTCAATGTTTTGGTGCGCGAGGGCACTGCGGTGCACAAGCACTTTGATGTACGAAGGCGTCGTGGTGCGCACGGTTGGTGAGGCGTAGACAGTCGCTGTGGTTCCCACACGCATCATTTCTGCAGCAAGTCTGGTGCACAGAGGCACTGTGGTGTACAGAGCCCGTATGTGTGCACAGCCTGTGCTGGTCTGGGCGACGACGACGACGACGACGAAGACGACCTAGGCGGCGCGCCTCGGGGGGTGCGCGGCGCGGCCCCCGTGACCGTCACCCCCCCCCTGCCCCCCCCCGCCCCCCCCAGGTTGACATTACCAGCCTGGAGCATATCCCTATTCCTATGCTGGGCATCTCCTCATCACGATGCCAATCTTAGGGATTCCCTAATTTTTTGGGGGGCGCATCCCTAAGATTGTCATCGCCTTTGGGCGTGTCAATCTTAGGGATAGGGATACGTTCGAGGCTGGTAGTAACATGTGTGACCCCCCAGGAAAAATGTCTCTCATGTTTGATGGAGGTTTCTCTGCCTCCTCGGGGAGGGTACCCTCGAATGCTCTCGATATTGGCCGGCGGAGGGTCTCACGTTCGTGACAAGGTTCTATTCTGTCCCAGGTCCGACTGAAGCTTGGTTGGCCCGCAAGATTCCACCCCCAGGCCTTCTGTGGCCCTAAGATCCTCTCGGCTCTGGCCGGAGAGAGGCGCTCGTTGATAAGCAGATGTGCGAGGTTGAAGTTTTAGTGTGGCTGTCGTTCAGTTCGGGGATCCCGCCGTGCTAGGCGTTCGATCATCCAGCTTTCGCGCGAGAAGGCCGCTGGAAAGCGCCGAAGACCGCCAGAAGACCGCCGAAGACCACCCGCAGACCGTCTGAAGACCGCCGAAGACGGCCCAGGGGCGAGGAGTAAGTACGTCAGATTTCGTAATAAAAGGGAGGGGGTCTGGACCCTCCAAGACAAGCCATTTCAGACCTCCCCCGTGGGAGAACCCTCCAAAGCATCGTCCCCAGACCCCCCAGGCCCTCCGAGATAGCCTGGAAGAGACCCCCCCCGAAATGAGACCCCCCTCCCTTTATTACGGAATCTGGAGTAACAAGGGGTCCACGGTCGAACGCGCCTACGCCGTGCGAAGGGGCGCGTCGGGCAGTCCGTCAGGGGTGACTGGTGTGGACGGCCAGCGCGGAGCGTGTGCCGCAGTGGCCGCTCAGCGGTAGGCGCTATCTGCCGCCGTTTGCCGCTCTTCCGCCAGCAGTTTTACCACGGCAGGCTTCCAGAACACCGAGCGCAAGTCAGGGGCGCGTCAGGCACCTCAGTCAGTCAGTCAGTCTGTCTGTCTGTCAGTCAAGTCAGCCACCTCGCCCTCAGCCAGCGACGCGCAGAGGGGAGGTAGGGGAGGGCAGAAGGCTTCTCAGACTGACCCCTGCTTCATCGAAGGCGCCGGCTTTGGACACTGGTCGTTGCAAGTAGGCATGCGCGGATATCCAGATCACAGGCTACTTCCAGCGCCCTGCTACCTGAAGAGTCGAGCGGCTGCCCCTCTTCCCTACTCTTCAGGGGGTCGGCGGGAGCCCCATCTACCTTCTCGGCGCCTGCCTATTTCGTCGTGTTTCCACCCCCACTCCCTCCGACCGACGGGCATCTACATCTCCAGACGTAGGGCTGGCGCCTTCTGAAGAAGCAGCCTCATGGTGAGACGGCTTCCTTCCTCCCCTCTGGCGACGGGAGGCCGCAGCGTCAGCCTGCTCTTCCTCATCGCCTCCTCCTCCTCCCCCTCCTCCTCCCTTTCCTCCTCCTCCTCCTCATCCTTCTCCTCCCTTTCCTCCTCCTCCTCCTCCTCCTCCTCTGCCTCCTCCCTCCTCATCCTCCCTTTCCTCCCTCCTCCTCCTCCTCCTCCACCCTTTTCCTCCCTCTCCTCCCCCCTTTCCTCCTCCTCCTCCTCCTCCTCCTCCTCCTCCTCCTCCTCCTCCTCCTCCTCCTCCTCCTCCTCCCCCAGCCCCCCCATCGCCCTCAGGTCTCCGTCCTCCCCGCGGGCCCCGCCGGAGCTGCCGCCCCCGGAGCTGCTGGCCCCGCCGGGGACGTCCGCCCCGCCGGCGCCGCCTCGGCGGAGCGGCAGAGCGTGCCGCCGCCCTCGGGGCATATTGCGGGCCCCCGGGGCGCGGGCGGTGCCGCCCCGCGGCCCGCGAGGTCGGAGGAGGTATTTTTTTCTGGCGGCGAGCGAGGGAGAGGTTCGAAGTTCGAGGTTCGATACGTTTTATTGTCTTTTTTCGGTCTGGGGGGGGGTGTTTTTTTTTAAGTGTTGGCCTCTTGGAGCAGGTTCGGGCCCCGGGACCCTGAAACCTCCATCGGGTGTGAAAATCCGCGTCGAATGGACCGGGAGGAGCCGGGGGCCCGATTTTGACCGACATTCGGCGGCGGCCCGTGGGGTCGGAGGATATTTTCTTTCATTCGCTGGACCCGTCGCGTGCGTGACGGGGGGATTGCCCCCCCCCCCCTTCCTCCTCCACCCCCCGCCGCGGCAGCAAAACGTCGAGGGAGGGATAGGGGGGCCGCCCCCCGCCCCCCCACAGATTCGGTGCCGCTCTTTCAGGCGCGTGACAGGCATCAGCTGGCCTCCACAAGCCTCCAGAGGTGGCCGTCGTCGTCATCGCCGTCGCCGTCGCTGTCGCCGTCGCCGTCGCCGTCGCCGTCGCCGTCGTCGTTGTCGTCGTCCTGTCGAAGTCATCCTGTCGTGGTCGTCGCCGCCGAAGCCGCCGCCACCGTCGTCGTCGTCGTCGTCGTCGTCGCCGTCGTCGCAGGCATCGTCGTTGTCGTCGTCGTCGTCTCAAACGCCGTGGTGGTGTTCTGATCACGTCGACGTCATCATCGTCGTCGTTCTCTTCCTCGTCGTCGTCGTTATCGTCATCGTCGTTGTAGTCGCCGTTATGCTCGTCGACGTTATCGTCGCCGTCGCCGTCGCCGTTGGCGTCGCCCTCCTCCCCGTCGTCGCTGTCGTCGTCGTCGTCGTCGTCGTCGTCGTCGTCGTCGTCGTCGTCGTGGTCGTGGTCGTGGTCGTGGTCGTCGTCGTCGTCGTCGTCGTCGTCGTCGTCGTCGTCGTCGTCGTCGTCGTCTCCGAGGGCCTCGGAGGGCCGGCAGGCGCCCTCCGAGGCCTGTGGGGATCTCTCGGGGCTTCCAGGGACCACTGGAGACCTACAGAGGCTGCCGTCGTCGTCGACGTCGGCATCGTCGTCGGCCTCGGCGTCGGCGCAGGCGTCGTCGTCGTCGTCGTTCTCGTCTTCCTCGTCGTCGTCGTGACCGCCGTAGTCATCGTCGTCGTCTCCGAGGGATTCGAAGCGCCTCCAGACGCCTCCGTATTCGTCGTCGTTGTCGTCGTCGCAGGCGTCGTCGTTGTCGTCGTCGTCGTCGGTCGTCCTCGTCGTCGTCCCCGTCCTCGTCCTCGTCCTCCTCGTCGTCGTAGTCGTTTTTGAGGGCTTCGAAGGGCATCCCGACGCCTCGAGTGGCCTCTGGAGAAATCCTGAGGCCGCCGGCGACTTCCAGAGATCTTCCGTGGTGGCCCTCCTCGTCATCGTCGTCGTCGTTTTCGTCGTCATCGTCCACGTCGTCGTCGTCGTCGTGGTCGTCGTCGTGGTCGTCCACGTCGTCATCGTCGACCACGTCCACGTCCACGTCGTGATCGTCGTTCTCGTCCTCGTCCTCGTGCTCGTCCTTGTCGTCGTTGTCCTCGTCCTCATCGTCGTCGTCTTCCGGCGCCCAGCTCCCCCCTCCCCCATGCGGGGCCCGCCCGCGTGACTGTTGCCCCTCACAGGGTCCCGACCCCCTCGCCCCCGCCACGGACGTTGCGGGGTAGGCAGACGAACGCTCTCGCAGCGGGGGCGTCAGCGCACCCAGGAGGGGCGACAGCCCCTCCTCCTCCTCCTCCTCCCTCCTCCTCCTCTTCCTCCTCCTCCTCCTCCTCCTCCTCCTCCTCCTCCTCCTCCTCCCTTCCCTCCTCTCCTCCTCCTCCTCCTCCTCCTCCTCCTCCTCCTCCGCCGTCCTCCTCCTCCTCTCCTCCTCCTCCTCCTCCTCCTCCCTCCTCCTCCTCCTCCTCCTCCTCCCTTCTCCTCCTCCTCCTCCTCTCACCCCCTCCTCCTGCTCCTCCTCCTCCTCCTGCTCCTCCTCCTCCTCGGGTCAGTAGTGAAAAGACACGCCGGGAGGTGCTTCGCCATCTGCGGCCTTTGGGTGCCCCTGCCGACCCTCGGGGGCTTCAGCAAGACTGCTCGGGATGGAGACCCCGTCCTGGGGAATGGATCCAGACCGTTGGGGGTCGAATCGTGACGTCGCGGGTCTGAGGAGGATGAGGTCCCGATGCCGCTGCTCGTCCTGGCAAGCCCTCGAGACAGCTGGACTGTTTTCGAAATCCTGGTCAGAACGAACCCCGGGAGCGGTTCGTGGAGTAGCGGCATGGGTCATTCGTTGTCTCCACAGGGGTCGGGGATCTGGAGGGCGGATGTTTGGAGGAGAAACGGGATTTGGGCAGGGAGTATGGTTGGGATAGAGGGTGGAGGGGAGGGTTGCCGGCGGGGGAATGGAGGGGGGAGGGACGGGAAGGGGAGAGGAGGGGGAGGGAAGGGGAGAGGGAAGGCGGGGAGGGGAAACCTCAGAGGGAGGAGGACGGATTGGATCCTGGCGAGGGGAGAAGCGAATGGAGGAGGAGATGGGGAGGGGGGGGGGCAGCCTCGAGGGGGAGGGCGGAAGAGAGCGGCGGGAGGCTGCTGCACGGTGGAGGCGGGAGGTCTGGGGGAGAAGGGCGGGGTTGCGAGAAGGGTCGCTGCGAGGTGATCCCCTGGCTCTCCCTGCTCCCTCTCTCTCTCTCTCTCCCTCTCTCTCTCTCTCTCTCCTGTTCCCTCCCTCCTTGTTCTCGGCTCTCTGTTCTCGGGCGCGTCGGAGGGCCGACGCTGGTGCGCGGAGCGCGCAGAGGGCCGCTGCAGCGAGTCGGGGCCGAGGAGAACGAGCGGGAGCATGCGGAGGAGGAGGACGACTACTGTAGATTTCGGAGGTGGACAGAACCCCCAACAGTGACACGTCGATTAGTGAATTGTCCGTTTTCGGTTCTCGAAAGGGCGCCGTGTCCGTTATTTTCCAGGCTTGCGCCCGCCAGGTTTGGGCCTCGGGTTGTTTTCACTAAACCACGTTTTACTAAAGGGGGGTCTGTCCAACCCCGAAGATTCGCGCCGACGTTCACAGCGGCGACCCCGCTGCTGGCGGCGACCCCGCTGCCGGCGGCGACCCCGCTGCCGGCGGCGACCCCGCTGCCGGCGTTCGCAGCTGAGCGCCGACTGCGATCCAGAATAGGTCGATGCTCAACGATCGCGTGTTTCGGAACCGGCCGATTTCGTCAAGGTGAAGCGATCCCCGTGTTGTCAGAGACCAGCGCCGAAGTCGGCACGACACGAACCTGCCGTAGAATCGGAGGTAGGGGCAGGGCGAAAAGATAGGAGGCGAAGGGGGGCAGAGGACGAATAGGCAGAGGGAGGAGGATGAAGAGACGGACTCCCTGCCAGGTGCCCCAGCACGTCACATTCTGCAGGGACGAGGCCGAGGTCCGGGAGATCCCGCTTCTCCAGGCGCCTCGCCCCTCCCAGAGACGGATGGCGGAGCAGGGGGCAGGCGGGAGCACGGGCAGCGTCGGAGGGGGAGGTGGAGGTGCGGGCGGGTGGCACCCCCCTCCCCCGGCCCCTCCCTCCCGCCTCTCCCTCCCGTCGCCCTCTCTGCCCTTGCTCCCGCGCCTCGCTCGGAGAAGCGGGACGATGGGACGCCGGAAGGAGTTGCCAATCACCTCGATTTTCCCCGAGCAGGTGTCACGTGTGACGCCGAGGCTATTTTCGGGAGGGGAAAAGACACACAGACGCAATGAATCGTCGATCCCCAGGGAAATATGGGAAAATACGGGAAGTGTGGGGGGGGGGAAGACAAAAACCCAGAAAATATGGGAACATCTTGGGAATCGTGTTATTGGTTTGTATCTGTGTGTGTGTGCTTGTGTGTGTGTGTGTGTGTGTGTGTGTGTGTGTGTCAGGGCCCTTCCATATTTGTCAGTTCGTACCATCGTTGCTTCGACGGTGCCCAGTCTTGACGTCTCGCGCATGTCCACCAACCCATCCGGGAGCGATGCCTCAGGGGGAGGTGCCTGGCTCACGAACGTGTAGGAACAAGCAGTGGAACAACGAGGGAGGGCAGCCGTCCAACTGCAGAGCTGGTGCAGCCTGAGCAGGAACCTGGGAGTCAGCAGTCGATGCCGTCGCAGGTCTTTTGATATCGGCGCCTCTGGTCAGCTTATTTCTCGGCCATCTTGGAACCTGATTCGGGTATCTTTGCGGACCTTTCGGGCTCTCTTGGGGACCTCTCGGGGCTCTCTTGGGGGCCCTGGGGGGCCCTCTTAGGGCAATCGTGAACGACATGTTCTTGATGCCAGTCCCTCCGCAGGAACCCAAAATGCGGCCGCTTCGGGCTATTTTGGCGTGCTCTTGGGGCGCTATTGCACGCTCTGGTCGGAGTATGTGGCCCCTCTTGGGACTCTCTTGGGCCACCTTGGAGCCATCTTGAGGCATCAAGAGCCCATCGGAAAGAAAAAACAGCAGACACCGGTCATCCTGAGGGCGCACCTCGAGGGGCACCGGGCGAGCTCCTCGAGGCAAAGCGAATGCTTCGGCGTCGCGGGGTTAGGCCCCCACGAAGGGCGGGCGTGATTGAACCCTGCCCGACTGGCAGTTGCAGTTGTCCTGCGAGGCTAGGCTGGGAGGGCACTGCTTCCCCGATCAATCGCCAAGTCGAGATCGGACCCCTGGCGAGCTCTCGGACCAGGGAAGCCCGCGCCACGGCAGCGGAGGCCGCGGCGGAGGCCAGAACGGCACGGGCAAAAAGGGCGCGGTCAGAAACAGCAGCACTTGCGGAGCCCACCCCGCAAATGCTGCCCACTCCCCTTGCGGCGCCATCGGCAAGCCGAGAGAACTGACAGTGGCAAGGAAGGCCGAGGGGGGAAACATGAGAGGAGTTGCCCTCCCGGGATCGCGAGCGCGGGAGCGGGTTCTTCGCGCCTCTAGCGCGCGGGCCGATGCCAGCGGAGTTGCCCTCGACCCTGCCTCGCGCGCGCGCGGGCGAGGCCCGCGTCGGCTCGAGCTCTTGCCTCCCCGCGAGGCATTGCCTGAATCCCCTCTGCGTCGTCGGGCCCCTCCGCGCCGCCGCCCCCCCCTTGCTGCGCCGGGCGCTCGAGCCCAGCGTGGCCCGGCAGCTCGACCTCGCGGCCGTGGCGGGGCGTCGGCGCGGCTCATTTCGGAAGCTCGAATCGGGGGAGCGTAAGACCCGGGTCTGCCAGGACTCGGGTTCGCCATCGTTTTTTGACGACCGCGCCTCGGATTTTGACGAGGAGGAGTTTCGTGGGATGTCTGCAGCGGGAGGCCTCGTCAAAATGCAGGTTCGGCCTCGTCATTTTTTTGACGGCCTCGTCATTTTTTGCAGGTCTTACGTCTCCCCGATCGAACAAGGGCGGCAGAGCCGCTGCGAACGCCGGCGGGGCAGGGCGCGCGTCGGCCTCGCAGGCGCGCTCGCCCAGGCGCGCCCGCGCGCGAGAGCTGCCCCCCGTCTCAGGAGCTCCGAAGTGGGGGGAGGAGCCTGCCAGCGCACGAGACTGCGCCTGGGAGCCTGAGCGCGCGGGGGCCGGGAGCACGAGGGCGAGAGTGGACCCCGAGCCAGATGGCCCGGGGGCCTGGCGTGCCACCGCGATCGCGGGCCCCAGCGCGCCATGGCTAGTGCGCGGAATGAGGCGCTTCAAAGGCCCAAGGCGCGCGGGGCCGCAGAATTCGCCACGCGGCAGGTCCCGCGAGGACTGCTCTATCTTGAAAGGCGGCGCCGCGCCGACAGCGCGCCAGGTTAAGGCATTTGGGAGCGTTGCGGGCCGAGGAGAGGTGGTGACGGGGAGCAAAGACTCTCGCGCGGGTTCGTGTTTTGACCGCTCTGAGCGCTGCGCCTCGATTGACATCCTCAAGCTGCGCCATCCCGGAATGGGGAGATGGTTCTTTGCGCCGCTTGCTACGCTTGCCCCCTCGGGCGCGTGCTGGAGCGGCCTTCCGCCAAGCGGGGCAAGGTCGCGGAGGCGTCCCGACTGCTTCCCTCGACGGGCCTCCTCGGACGTTGGCTGGTCATCCCGCTTCGCGAGTCCGAGCTACTCTGGGTGGGCGACGAGGCCTTGGTCGTCGGCATCTGCGACGCGGGCACGGGCTCTGCGGCGAAGGGCGCCCCCCAGGGCAGGAAGCCGCAGCGTCTGATCGCGAACTTGACAGCCACCAACAGCCTCCGCACCGACTTTCCCGGCCTCCTGGATGGGGTCGCGGAGTAGATGGGGTCTGTGGATCGCGCCGCATCGCTGGTGCATCGCCGATGCGGCTCGATGTGCAGCTCGATTTGCTTCACGTCGGCGTCGCCGACGCATCGCCGACGTCGATGATGCATCGCCGGTGCATCGCCGATGCATCGCCGATGTATCGCCGTTGTATCGCTGATGCATCGGCGATGCGGCGCGATCTATCGACCCCATCTACTCCGACCCCATCCAGGAGGCCATCTAGACTTGGAGTGCGACGTCGGCCATTTGACTTCCTGCGCGCAGTGGGGGTCCCTCGCTGCGCGTCCCCCGGCGAGCAGTGCGCACGGAGCTTCGGCGACCTGAAAAAAGGGGCCTGCTGTTTTTTGTGTCCAATCTCCCCCCCACGTCCTGGGCTCGGAGGGGGGAGGAGGGGGCAGGAGGGGCAGGGGAGGAGAGGGGGGAGAGGGAGGAAAGAGCGCGCGCGTGCGACGACGCCCATGCGGTACTGTCGCCACGCGGTCCCGGGATCGAGGAGGAGGAGGTTGGGCAGAGCACGGGGCAGTATCGACGGTATTCCCCATGTTTCAGGAGGGGAAAAAACACAGACACAATCAATCGTCGATTCCCAGGAACATATGGGAAAACATGGGAAGTGGGGGGGAAGACGAAAACCCAAGAAAATCAAATAATATATGGGGAATCCTGCTATTTGTTTGTGTCTATTTTTTTGTGTGTCCCAGGGCTCCTTCAATGTTTGTCTGTTTGTCTCCTTTGGTCATACCTCTTCCCGCACGGCGGATTCTTGGCGCTTGACTTCTTGGTATGGTCCACCCCTTGCTCGGCCTGTGTACGACGGTACCCGATCATGTCCGCATCGCCGAGCAACCCGTGCAGGTCCGGGACCTCGAGGTGTTCCAGTGGTCTCGGTCCAGCGGCCTGGAGGACGCCGAGGACGAAGGCGCTGGCGCGCATTCGTTTGGGGGAGGCTCTTAGTGAGCCGTGGAAACGACAGGGCCGTTTTTTTACCGGTTCCGTTTTGCCGTTTTTTTTTTTGCGGTTCCGACGCCGTTGTTTAACCGGGTCCGCCGCCATTTTTTGACCGGTTCCGGCTCCGGTTCCAATCCTGGAGCCGTTTTTTTGCCGTTTTTGGTCACTTTTTTTTGCCGTTTCCATGTTCAAAGGACATTTTTGGGGAAACGGTGAAAAAACGGCCCTGCCGTTTCCGGGGCCCACAAGGGGGAGGCCGTGGGCGAAAAACGTATCCGTATCCGTGCCCCCCCGGAGCGGGCCTGTGTGCCGCGACGCCCGGGGATGCGCGGCGTTTTGATCGCGGATGCCCCCCCGCGCGGGACGTATTGGTGCGATCGCGTAGCCGCGGGGTCGCGCCCCAGAATCCAGAGTGCGAGGGCGCGGGCATGGATGTTTCTTGCCGCTCGTAAGTTGAGGGGGAGGGGGTTAGAATCGGCCGGGTGGCTGAGGTGGCCCAGCATTGGTTGCGACCAGCAGAGCTTGGGGAGACAGACAGGGCCCCCCCCGTCGCCACGGTTGGACGCGGCTCGAACAGTTGGTCAGGTTCGACCCCAGGAGGGATCCGGGGACCGATTTCTTCGGGGCCCAATCAGCGCAGAGCCCCAGCCGCCTGGAAAAGGGGGAAGGTTTGGGGGTTGGTGGATTTGGGGGGTTTTCGTCGCTTCCTGGCTTTTTGCCCAGCTTCGCGATGCCTTCAGCTGCGCCTCGCCGAGAGCGTTCCAGGGTGTCCAGATCGTCCCGAGCGGCCGCCGGAAAGCCAGACGGCGAGGATGAGGGGGATGCAAAGGAGCAGGAGGTGGAAATCAGGAGGGAGGCCGAGGGGAAAGGGCAGGATAAGGCTCAAGATGAAGGCAGCAGGATAAGACCAGGAGGAAGTGGGGGAGGAAGCTTGGGAGAAGGGGCCACGGGGGTTCGGGTTCCGCGCAGGTTGGACCGTCTCCGGAGGGGGTATGTCAGCAAGGGACTGGGCCGTGGTGACCACGGTGGCACCGCGCGGTGAGTCCTGGGGGAGGAGTCGGGGCCCCCGCGTCGTTCCGGTGTCGGGGGGGCCGAGGCGCCCTCCGAGGGCGTCTCGGGCACGACCCGTGGCCGCCAGAGAGCCCCAGGGCCGCGCGGCGACGGCGCGTGGGGCCTCTTTGTGATGCCGAGGTCGCCGCGCGGTGCGTCGCCACGCGGCCCTGGGACTCCGGGCTCGGCTGGGGCTTTGTCGTGGCGGCAGGGGCTCTGGGGGCTTGGTTTTTGGCAGGGGCTCTGTCGCGGCGGCTGTCGATAGTTTTTGTCGGCCCCTCGGGCCCGCTCTCGGGCCACGGGTCCCCTGGAGGTTCGAGCGGGGGATGGACAGCCGCGTCGAATGGAACCAAGGAGGGCTCCGGCTTTGTGGGCCCCGGGAACGGCAGGACCGTTTTTGTCAACCGTTTCCCCAAAAATGTCCCTTGAAAATGGGAACGGCAAAAAAACAGCGACCGGAAACGGCAAAAGAAACAGCTCCAGGATTGGAACCGGAGCCGGATCCGGTCAAACAAACGGCGACGGAACAGGTAAAAAAACGGCGTCGGAACCGGCAAACAAAAACGGCAAAACGGAACCGGTAAACAAAACGGCCCTGTCGTTTCCAGGGCACTAAGGGGTCCGGGGACCGATTCTGACCGACATTCGTCGGCGCGCTCAGGGGGGGAGGTGAGAAGGAGAAGGCTTGCCTAGGCGGCGGCGTGGCTTCTCAGAGGCCCTCCGGCAGTCTGAGAGGTGTGATGCGTCTCGGGGGAAGGCTTAGAACACTGCTCAGAGGGCTGGGGACTTCCGAGCCTCCTGAGGAGGCCCGCGCCTTCTCCCTTCCCCCCGGGCTCGCTGCCGAAGTAGGTCGACCCTGCCAGATCAACGGTACCCTCGCGACCTGTGCTTCGCGACCCATACCTTCAACATTCCTGTGGCAATGGGGCCCTCGGACGGGTCTTGTGTCCTCTCGCGTGTCCCCTCCACTGAGCCCCGACTGTGCACAACAAGTCTGCGACAGCTTACGAAGGTCCACTCGGCGCTGGGGTAGCGGACACCCCCGCTGGGGTTCACCTGGCCGCAGGTGCCTTTCACATGTTAAGCCCCAGCCGATTTTTCAGAAGTCTGACCTGCTGGGGTAGGATTAACATGTGGATGCCCATCTGACATGGCCCATGGGTCCCAACATGGTGCATACATTATTTTTGCGCAACTCAAGACATCGGGACGGGGGCGTCGATATGTCCACCCCAAATTGCCGGACCGAGGCGACCGATCAGGCTGCAGCGACTGTTTGTACACGTTGGACAGCATTGCCTCGTGAAAGGTGCGGCGCCACAGCAGATTGAATGCACGGGACGCGTGGACCACGGGGCCGAACGACACGTTTCGCGTGGGTTCATGCCCGCGTAGCAGGTGCCCAAGCCCTCAGCTCGCGGGGTGTGGCACCGACCGTCGTCCGCTTGCACTGGTCTGCAAGATGTGCTCCAGTCGTGGACGAACACGAGCCACGCAGTTGACAGAAGATGTACAGATGTAGGCGCCCATCTCGAGAACCACCTGCAACGTAGAGTTTGGGGACCACAGCCAAAAGATGTGGCGACTGGATGGTAAGCACGCCACGCACCAGAGTCACTGAACACCCCGGTCCTGGACCAACTCATGGGCTACGCAGTGGGGAGAAGGCACGACACATCGAAAAGATCGGGCGAGGAGGAGAGGCTGGGCGGTGGACACCCTCTAGTCTCGTAGGGGCAAGTGCTCCGTGCGGGCCACAGATGCCCACGTGCTCGACTACTGAAGGTCTAGGCCTCCTAGACGGGGTCGGAGTAGATGGGGTCGTAGGGGCGCGCCGCACCGCCGATGCATCGCCGATGCGGCTCGATGTGGAGCCCGATTTGCTTCACGTCGGCGTCGCCGATTCATCGCTGGCGTCGACGATGCATCGCTGGTGCATCCCCGATGCCTCGCCGATGCAGCGTCGATGCAGCGTCGATGCGACCCCATCTGCTCGGACCCCATCGAGGAGGCCTCCCGCAGGGGGGGGAGCGCGACGCGCGCTCTGGTGGCAGCCGGGTGCACGGAGTGCAGGCCGACCCCCCCGGCGAGCATGCGCATCGGCACGGGTTTATCTCCCATGCTCATCATCTCTGCCGCCTGGGCAGGGTGGATGGCAACCAGAGTTGTGTGGTCCTTCATGGGGGAAGATCCCACACGTCCTGGCGGTTTGGGGATCTCCTCGGACTCGGTCGACGCCAGGACGGCATCCGGATGACTTCATTGACGAAAGCGTGCAGAGGGGTGTTCGACATCTGGACGAAGGCACGCTGATGATAGGGCCGCGGAAGTCCACAGAGGCTGCCATGGAGGCTCACCCTTACAGTCGGTTCGCTGAATAAGGAGCCCTTTTTTGTTCTTGTGGAGGGGCTCAGTGTTCCTTAGTTGCTTTGTAGATGTTCTTGGCTTTGTAGGTTTTCTCGGGTGTTCCGTGGGTTTTGTGTGGAAGATCGAAGTGTAACTGATTAGAAACAAGGGGCTTCGTTCCTGATGTAAGATTCCTTATGACAGCGTTTTGACCGTGCGTAGCCTGAACGGCACCCGAGGCTGGCAGCAGCCTCGCTCCAGCTCTGTCCACATGGCGAGCCAATCTCCGCAGACGCGCGGCCCTCGTGGGTCGGCCACGGCCCCTTGACAACCAACCAAGCAGAGCGAGGAGGAGGAGGAGGAGGAGGAGGAGGAGGAGGAGAGGAGGAGGAGGAGGAGGGGAGGAGGGAGGAGAGGAGGAGGAGGAGGAGGAGGAGGGGAGGAGGAGGAGGAGGAGGAGGAGGAGGAGAGAGGAGAAGGAGGAGGAGGAGAGGAGGAGGAGGAGGAGGAGGAGGAGGAGGAGGAGGAGAGGAGGAGGAGGAGGAGGCAGGAGGAGGAGGAGGAGGAGGGAGGAGGAGGAGGAGGAGGAGGAGGAGGAGGAGGAGGAGGAGGAGGAGGAGGGGAGGAGGAGGAGGAGGAGGAGGAGGAGGAGGAGGAGGAGGAGGAGGAGGAGGAGGAGGAGGAGAGAGCGAGGAGGAGGAGGAGGAGGAGGAGGAGGAGGAGGAGGAGGAGGAAGTGAGGAGGAGGAGGAGGAGGAGGAGGAGGAGGAGGAGGAGGAGGCGGAGGAGGAGGAGGAGGAGGAGGAGGCGGAGGAGGAGGAGGAGGAGGAGGAGGAGGAGGAGGAGGAGGAGGAGGAGGAGGAGGAGGAGGAGGAGGAGGAGGGAGGAGGAGGAGGAGGAGGAGGAGGAGGAGGAGGAGGAGAGGAGGAGGAGGAGGAGGAGGAGGAGGAGGAGGAGAGAGGAGGAGGAGGAGGAGGAGGAGGAGGAGGAGGAGAGAGGTAGGGAGGAGGAGGAGGAGGAGGAGGAGGAGGAGGAGGAGGAGGAGGAGGAGGAGGAGGAGGAGGAGGAGGAGGAGGAGGAGGAGGAGGAGAGGAGGAGGCAGGAGGAGGAGGAGGAGGAGGAGGAGGAGGAGGAGGAGGAGGAGGAGGAGGAGGAGGAGGAGGAGGAGAGGAGGAGGAGGAGGAGGAGGAGGAGGAGGGAGGAGGAGGAGGAGGAGGAGGAGGAGGAGGAGGAGGAGGAGGGGGAGGAGGAGGAGGAGCAGGAAGAGGTGAACAAGGGGGGAAAGGGGGGTACCAGACGGGTGCGGATGGGCAGAACGAAGAGGGGAGAATGGGCGGACGAGGGGAGGATGGGCGGGGCAGGAGGAGGAGGAGGAGAAGCAGGAGGAGGAGGAAGCAGGAGGGGCAGAGGACAGGAGGAGGAGGAAGAGAGGGGAGCACGAGGTCGAGCGGGCATCTCCGCCGCGCCCTGCGCCCGGCAGGCGTGGAGACGGACTCCTCAGATTCCTGTTGAATGGCTACTGACTGGGGCTCGGCGCCCGCGCGCCCTGGTCCGCGAAACGCGGGCGGCGGGGTGCCGCAGGTCGACGAAAAGCCAGAAGAGGACGGGAAGGGGGAGCAGGACTCCAGTCTCGGTGAAACGACAGAGGCCCTGACCCGAGCGGGACACGACTGCAGAGACATAAACTCTTGGAGATCCTCGGGTTTTTTTTTGGATTGGTGCTGAAGCCCCCATGGCGGCGCCTCCAGCGCCGCCCCTGGCGCGCCCCGCGCGTCAGGGAAGGGGGGGTCGGCGCAGATCCAAGGAACCCGCGCGCACCTCCAACAGTTTACGCGTTTGGAGTTGTTCCTTCCTTTACTGGCGGCCTCGAGCCTGGCCCACACAGCCGCACGCACGCACGCACGAACGCACACCACGCACGCACACCACGCACGCACGTACGCACCACACACATACACTCACACACACACACACACACACACACGCACAAACACACACACAGACACACATACACACACACGCACACGCACACGCACACGCACACACACACAACATGCATACACACACTCATACTCACACTCACCCAGCTGGCGACAGTCAGCCCTGAGTGGCAGGTCGCCCCTGCCACATCGAGAGTACTCTTGCGTCCTGTTGTTCGCGACCCGTGCATCCAATATTCATATGGCAGTGTGGCCTCCGGAGGGGTCTTGTGTCTTGTGTCCTTCAGAGCGTGAATTACCTACCCCGCTTTCGCTTCCAGGCAAAACCAAGTCATACCATACGCCTCCTCGTCAAGCGGCCTGACCAGTACATGCCGTAGTTTGGCATCGCTTGGTATCTCTTGGAAGCGAGGTTGGTCAAAAGCGAGGTCTCCTCTCGCGTATCCTGTCCAATCACGTCCGGCTGTAGGAGATCTGCGGGTTTTGCTTGTCTGCGCGAGCGAAAGCCTCGGAGCCCTCTGGAGGGCGACTCCTGTGGCTTTCCCCTCCCGGGGTGCCCTGCCCAGGCCAAGGCGGGACACTCGAGGGGGCCGAACGGTTATTCGTTGTTCCCAGGTGCGTGGCTGCAGTGAGATCCGTGGTGAGGATTCTGCTTGCTGCGTTGTTGCGTTGTTGTTGTTGTGGTTGCTGTTGTTTTTGTTGATGTTGTTGTTGCTGTTGCTGTTGTTGTTGTTATTGATATTGTTGTTATTGATGTTGTTGTTGTTGTTGAACATTATTTATTCTAAAGAATAATTATTGTTGGGCCCCCTGGTGCGCGCCCCCCCTGCGCCGCCTAGGCCGCAGCTACATTTTCATCATTTTCGTGAGGAAGCCTCAGAAAAGAGGGTGTGTACAGGATCCGGTTGTTTTGTTGTAATCCGCTTTCCCTTGCAAAAAACAATAGAAAATGACATTTCTTGTTCTAATATAATCAAATTTCAAGAATCCCTTGCAAAAAATAAGGTAAAGTGGACATTCGCGCGCGCAAGACGAAATCCTTCCAAAACCTTAGTGTTCGCAGCGATTTTAACATAAAAACATCAAAAAAACAATGGTTTTTCAACAAAAAATTGTCAAAATCTCATCCCGCGCGCTCTTGCGGATTCGTAGGAAACCCAACACTTTTTAAACATTTCTGTCAAACGGGCTTTTGCGAGCAACTTTTTCGAACTTCTGCGACAACGGTTGCGCACCTGCCAGGGCCATCATCCCTGTCAAATAATACCATGCGGGACACATTCGTTTTTTCTTCGCGCGCGCACGCCGAAATCTCCAAAAACCATTGGGCTTCTTAAGAATTTTAGCACCGCGCATCATAAAATCACACGAATCGCACCGTAGGTCCTCGGACAATCATCGGGACAACGATCGGGACAACCACAACCATCAGGACAACCATCGGGACAACCATCGAGACAACCATCGGGACAACCATATCCTCTCTCTCTTGTGTATTCCCACATCCCTCAGGAATTGGCCCTAAAGATGTGATCAACTATCTTGTGAGTACGTATCATGTGTATCATGTGTATCATGTACCATATGCATCATATGCAACAGATGTTCTGTGGAAGGCTTAACAACTTCTGTGGGTTAACAAGGCTTAACAACTTCTGTGGGTGTACGAACGTAGGCTTAACAACTTCTGTGGGTGTGTACTCCACGCCAGTGTAGTAGCCACGGTCGTCCGCAGGCCACGAAGTGAAGTGTCCGAACGTCATAGGGCGGGAAGCTGGGTGTGGGTGGTGGCGAAGAGTCGTGTGGATATTTGGTAGAGCTTGCACTGCCCCCCCACAAAGTGGGGGTATTGGCTGGCGTCGCATGAAAACCCTGGCACTGGTGAGAACACTGAGCGTTCGGGTAAAGTGATTGTTGTTGTTGTTGTTGGTGGTGTTTGTTGTTGTTTGTTGTAGTCTTCCCACCCGCGACCCACCCCGTGACCCACCCCGCGACCCAACCGCGACCCACCCGCGACCCTCCCGCGACCCACCCGCGCCCCACCCGCGACCAACCCGCGACTCACCCCGCGACCCACCCGCGACCCACCCGCGACCCACACGCGACCCACCCGCGACCCACGCGCAACCAAATTTCCGAGCCATTTGCGACCCACCCGCGACACGTGCGCGACCTACAAGGCGTCTTGAACAGATCGTTCGGCGATTCGGGGTTGCGTCGTTGTTGTCGTTGTTGTCGTTGTTGTCGTTGTTGTGCGTCGTTGCTGTTGCGTCGTTGCTGTTGCGTTGTTGTTGTGCGTCGTTGCTTGTTGCGTCGTTGTTGTCGTTGTTGTTGTGGTTGCTGTTGTTGGTATTGTTGTTGTTGTAATTGATGTTGTTGTTGTTGTTGTTGTTGTTGGTGGTGGTGGTGGTGTTGGTGGTGGTGGTGGTGGTGGTGGTGTTGGTGTTGGTGTTGGTGGTGGTGTTGGTGGTGGTGTTGGCGTTGGTCTTGTTGTTGTTGTTGTTGGTGGTGGTGGTGGTGGTGGTGGTGTTGTTGTTGCTGTTGTTGTTGTTTGTTGTCGTCGTCCCACCCGCGACCCACCCCGCGACCCACCTCGCGACCCACCCGATACCCACCCCGCGACCCCACCCGCGACCCACCCCGCGAACCAACCCGCGACCCACCCGCGACCCACCCCGCGACCCACCCGCGACCCACCCGCGATCCACCCGCGACCCAACCCGCGACCCACCCGCGACCCACCCCGCGACCCACCCGCGACCCACCCGCGACCCACCCCGCGACTCACCCGCGACCCACCCTCCACCCACCCTCGACTCACTTGCGACGCACCCGCGACCCACCCCGTGACCCGCGCGCGACCCGTCCGCGACCCGCTTGCGTACCCACCCGCGACACCCCTGCGACCCACCTTCGCGACAATACAGCGACCCACCCGCACCCACCCGCGATCCACCCGCGGGACACAACCCGGGACTTCCGCGACCCCCCCGCGAACCACTACCGCGAACCACCGCAGCCCACTTTTGCGACCAACCGCGACCCACCCGCGACCCAACCGCGGGACCCACCCACGACCCACCCGCGACCCACCCCCGATCCACCGGCGACCCATGTGCGACCCATTTGCGTCCCATCCGCGACCCATCCGCGATCTACCCACAATGGTTTAACGAAAGAATCGGCGCCTGCGGCGGGCTTGTTGTATAATTTGTGAAACGTTGGCGCCTGCGGCGGGCTTCTCCAGAGACTCGCAGACTGCCGACGTCCCCACCGCCTCCTCACTCTTATCCGCATTTGCGGGGTGCTACGTACTTGCTTCAGGCCTGCGTCGTTCCGAAGTTTTGGCGATACTTGAAGCCTGGGTCGAGTCGAATCGCGGTTGCACTGGCGATGTTAATCGATATGGGGCGCGTTGTTCTCCATGCCAGCATTGCCGTTGTAAGGTTGGCGTCTCCCGCGCATCGCTGGTGCATCGGCGACGTATCGGTGATGCTGCGCGATCCTCCGACCCCATGTGCTACAACGAGAGCTTCAATTTGAACATGAGCCGCCTTCTAACCGTCCAGCTGCTGCAGAGCACGTTGCCTCTCGGCGTACTTC